CCAATGGCCTGTCCAACACAAAATCATGGCACTGCATTTCCATTGCATTTAACTACTGTGCTGTATTACACACTGTTTCAACCCTAGGTTCAGAATACTGCAAAAACGTCCCTTCTCCTACCGCAAAATTAAGCCCCTGCAATAATAAAGGAATTTACAGTGGTTAGAACCAAGACATAACAACTCTTGACAACCATAGACTCAAACTCGAGAGTAATCAAATATCAGCTGACAACATTCATCATAATAGGAGGGTCCAAATCCCTTTGTTTATACGTATTTGCCATCAGGCGCCTACAGGATCTATCACTCCAGGACTGCCAAGTTCATATACACCTTCCCAACTAGAACCCGCTTCGCACTTCAATGTGACACACAACTTCTCCCATTCTCAATTAGGTGAGGACAAATCGAATCACTTTACCTTTGGGGAGATGGGAGGGCCACATCTGGGTAAAGGATGCATTTCAAGACAAATAGTGACACCACTGTCAAATACAGGCCCGTGCCAACAGCATTAACTGTGACCTTTCACCCTGGCCCCGTGAAGAAATGTCTGTCTGCCAGTTCTCCACACAGCCTTCCACAAATTCCCAGTGATAGACGACTACCTTTAACAAGTATCTTGGGCACTTGTTTTTCTTCATGTATGGATCAAACCGTCTTCTACAGTACAACTACAAGGGGTTGTTTTAGTGTCTATACAGTATATTTTTCACACAAGATAAAGGTTCCATAGCCTTTTTGAAGCCATATGGCCAGATTTATAAATCTAATGTGTGTAGTGTCTAGGGTACAATTTTTGGAGAGAGAACCCATCAATTTCCTTCCACAGACTTTACCTCCCCACCCAAAGTCAGGTACCCATTTACACCTGAGTACAGTGTGAAAAGTCTGGTAAAGTGCCATTCCCCATGACACAAGGTCTGAGCTCTAACCACCAGTGCCAGGAATCGAGCTGATAACCTTTCGACCCCATGTCCATCTCGAGTCTGGGCAATGCATTAAAGCGCCTACCATAACTGTATGGATTTTGGTCAGAAATTGTAGACTTATTTCATTTTGACTGAAGTACAATTCCATCGATTTTTCTACCTGTCTAAAATATTTTCTTTAGATATGGCTTACCTTAAATATCAGGACTGGTGGTATTTAATGGTTACTCCCAGTCCAAGACATCTATTAGACTTTATATGTTTATAATCTTATGGGCTTTGCTATGTATTTCCTTCTACCATACTATGATTTTCCCCAGGTTTAAAGCATGTACATTAGATTGTCCCTGCTATCTGTGCCCCCCCCCCAGACATGGTCGGATTGAACAATAACTCTTGCTAGACTACACTAAGACCCTCCCAATCTGTAAGGTCAACTTTCCATCATGAGTTGTCATCTGAATACAAATATACCAGAAGCATCCTGTTTAGAGCATATAAGTGCATCAATAATTTTACTTGTTGAATATTGTTACCGGTAATTTCTATGTATTTGCTTTATATTGCTTGTCCTTCATGAAGAGCAGCTAAACATTTCTCTCTTTGGTATGAAATATAGTTGGCTGTTTCTGATGTGCAGTATATGAGCACAAATTTTGGTTACCCCGGCAACTGGGATGTAGCGTAACCATAGATACCGACACGATCTCAGGACATGGTTTGTTTTTATGAGCGACCCTTTTCCTGATCCATGTCAGGTTGAACTGTAGGTCGCTGACCCTCCCATCTGTTCCTCCCTTACCAACCTTACAGCAGTATTCAGGAATTCCACTTCCCCTAACAAACACAGCATACCAACAAAGCTATGAAATATTGTACACGCCAGGTGCAGAGGAGGCCTTCAGGACACTGCAACAATAGCCGTCGGTCACTTGACTTATTTCTGTCCTTCTGATTGGCTGAGACGAGGGATGTTCCGGCAAAGAGCAGCTGCTCATTAGCATAACAATAGGAAGGACTGAAACATGGTGATGAATGGGACTAGAACAGAAGAGGAGGATTCAGGATTCAACAATCGATGCTCACCCAGAAAAAAGGCTCTGAACCAGTGGCAAAAGGACAGAGCTTCGAAAATAGCCTTTTCTGGCTTTAATTATACAATTTCTAAATGAAAAACTACAGACCGCCTAATTACAAATCATTAGTTCTCATTACATAACTACCAATGAGGGCAAATGTAGATAAAAGCCATTTAGCTACGACTGTTCAATGTATCTTCTGCCCCTAAGGTATGACAGGGGTATAATTATAATGTAGTAACATATAATCACTGACAAACATTAAAACACAGTTGATTCTTCCTGCTCATGTAGAAGAACAAGTCCTAACAGATGGCAGGATTCAGGACACGGCCCTTTGAAATAGGACCTCCGTGTCATTAAATGTTGCTATTTCTGTAATGCTAGAAAAGATCCCTTATGTTTTGTTATATGTCAAATATACAAGCAAGCGTCTCTGTGTATGTCTGATAAATATGATAACTGTGTGAAATACATTGAATGTGCAGGTGATAGTGTTAATAACAGATAGGACTTGGGCCATTTGGGGAGGGTGAAAATGTAAATGTGGTGTGTATCCGTTTCTACCAATCCAATATATTACCAGGTTAATTTTTCCCCAGTGCAAATAGAGCGAAACACATACAAATCCAATTTATCCACACCACCCATGTCCAGTAGGACACCTATTGCTAGCAGTTTCAATAACTGGACCTAATCCAATCTTTAATCTGGTACATGTGACTCCGTATGCAGAAAAATGAGACAAATATCGATGGTTAACAGACTGATTTGTTGAGAGTAGATAAGTGTCCTTTTCTATCATAGCAAAGACCTAACAGTAACACACCTTTCTTCATCGTGGATAAATTTCTCTATACACGGTAGCACCTAACATGCGGTTTACTATCACTATCAGTACTGTAAGTGTGAAATATTCGCTGTGGTTTTAACCATGAATGCCTCCTTACCCCTTGTATTGCAGAATTAGGTCCACATGATTTACCGTCAGCTATTTGCGAAGTTTATGAAGCTATGAATGCAATCGTAAATTTAATGTGTGCCTCACATATTGTGCATCTTATGCAGACATATCCCACATAATTGCTCACAATTGCCAGAATAGACTGATCCTATAGCCCCGCCCACCTCTGCCAAAATGTACAAATACAAAACAGGGCTCAAAATATTGGGTGCATGTGCACCTTAGTGCACGCACCCAAATTTGGACCTGTGCACCCAATTTTTATCTGTGGGTGCACCAGACAAATGCTTTCTTAGGCTTATGTATGTAAATATGTGAAATGTATAGTAGTATACAGTGTATTCTTAATATCACAGTGTCAGAAAATTATTGTTGTAGTACTTTTCTTTGGAAATGAAACATAATTACTTTTTGCTGACATTCTACTTATTTTATTTTATATGGTACGCCCAAAAATTTTTTGTGCACCCAATTTTTTAGGTTTGGTGCACCAGTGCACCTATTCCCAAAAATGAATTTTGAGCCCTGCAAAATCAAAACATAACTAGAAAGGCCAATATTTGCTTTGGAGCAAATACAGCAATGGGTTCACCACATTTTACCACATGGCAGGGAAAGAATGAGAAACACAAGGGAAAACAATGATTTACATTGATATAACTATAAAGTATAATATGAAGTAACATACAACTAAAACAACAGTTGGATAGCTATTCCCTACTTTATTGGTTAGGATTTTTAATTGCATAATGCAAACTGTTGATTTTCAAAATAAATAAAAAAACGTTCATGCCCCGCATTCCAATGCTGGAGCAGAAAAGCTTGAAATACCTACCAAAACACTTGAATAAAGACATACTGTCAGTATGGAAATGCTCTGTGCAGGTGTTAATCAAGTTAAATCCCAACAGCCAATCAGCAAGAAATGCTCTGTGCAGGTGGAAATGCTCTGTGCAGGTGTTAATCAAGTTAAATCCCAACAGCCAATCAGCAAGAAGTATAGAGGAAAGCTGCATGCCTATTGGTTGATGCCCTGCATTCCATTGTGATGACTCATGCCCAGACATGGTAATCACGGCACACTAACACAGTAATACATTTGCTATAACACAGCCAAAAAACTCAAATAAAACCATTCTAAAAGCCTGTATCACAAAAATTTAAAAAACGCCTAGGGGTATTTGCCCACTGTACCTCCATACCAAATTTCAGGACCTTAGGCCCTAAAATGAAGAAGCTGAATCCATTTAAAAAATGGCAGGAGAAGAAGAAGAAGGAGGAGGAGAAGGAGGAGAAGAAACATCAGAAAAAGCAATATGGGTTCACCACCACTTCGTGGTGTGGTGAACCCATAAAAATGCAAAAATTTGAGACATACAGCCACTCTCTTGTTGGTTGAGCTGCTAATTGTGACAGACAGGTTAGGATTGGTCTATGGTCTATTGATGAAATGTAAGCTCTAATACTGATTCTTGTAGAAGGGTGTGGCCACTATGCCCATCCTGTAACACAATCACTATCAGGGTCTGGTCAAACATTGCACCACTTCAGAGTGTTTGTCTTGTGGGTGGCTGACAAACAACACAGAATGTGCCCTACTTGTTTCTACACTAATTCTGTTTGCCCCTTTGTGTACCCCTCTCACTGCAGTGGTTTACAGCCAAACAATCTGCATTGTAACACTGCCCACAAAATGAAACAATCTAAACCTATACATTGTTATCTTCTTTTATTCTTTCTCTACACACGATTTGAAACTTAGAACATTTTTTTCAAAGTTTCCAATGGAATGGTACATGTATGTGCTGTCTTCTTGTACAGGAAATTGTATGCAAATGTAGACAGATTTCAGGGGCAGGTGTGTTTGCATTGCAAGATGCCCCCACTTTGCCACAGGATTTGGTCCAAGGACCAAAGAGAAAGTGCAGACCTCAAAGTAAATAAAAAATGGGACATCTGTAAAAAAAATGCACAGTTGGAAACATGAACACATATTACTTGCAAAACAACCAGAGTACTTACGCTTTCTTGTTCTCTGTTGTCTGCTTGCAGAGCTGGATGTAGATTTCGTCCCGGACAACCGCCGTGCTCCAACCTTTCGTAGTCAGCTCCAGAGCAATCTCGTCCTGCGTTCCCTTACACTTGCGGTCACCCATGTATCCCTGCAATAACACAGCAATAAAACATTACCATCTACGTACTAAACTACATTTTCCAACAATCCAAATTTGGAAATGTTTACAGTGGTTTCATTTTTGCGATTTTCTGGTAACCCAGTTGCAGATATGCTTTTCCATTGTACCACAGAATTGTTCCAACCTCTATTTAAACTTACACCACTGTGAAAGAAGCCTTTCCTCCACTACCATGAAGTCCTTGCAAAAATATGTGAATTTACAGTATCTCGTGTATATCCAATATTCTAGGAGAGCTACTGCACAAACTAGGCACACAGTGGGCACACTTGTCTATACTACTTGAGAATGACCTTTTGAAATTTTCACACAAATACCATTTCCACTTGTCGCCCAATTGTCAAGAGATCAAACATTCCTATTCATTGAAAACAAAAAGGTTATCGCACAGTATTCTAAATGTCAGAAGTAAAACTACTAGTTCATAGAGTAATACAGGCAGCCCCACACACGTACGAAACTTGCATATTCTAAACTTTGCAAGTATATACATGTATAGTATATATACTAATGGTAGAATTTTATCCTGTACATTCAAAATCACTATTCTCAACTCACAGCTGCTAATCGCTCTAAAACCAGGGGGAACACAGCAGGTTGACCCCCAGGTCAGGTTCATGTTTCTTGAGGCAACACCTTTCACCACATGGATCTAATAATTACATCCCTGGTCTGATCCCTCACCCCCATGTGCCTTCAGGAGAGGAATACACAACTACATGTACTACTAGTAGACTGTCCATCACAATTAGCAGTTCAACCAATGAGAGAATGGCAATTAGCAGTTTGACCAATGAGAGAGTGACTGCGTGTCCCTCAAATATCTGAAGGTTAATCCGTTTACAATTTTATTTTGACATTTCTACATTTTGAGGGACAGGGCTTTGGGATCAGTCTATACTGTATGTGTAGGGTTAAACCACCATTTACACACAGGACTGTGACTCCCAGGTATTTCCAGAAATATACTGTAAATCTTAAAATGTTTGCGGCGGTTTTATTGTCATGGTTTTCGAAGTGACTTCTCTAATGCAAATTCATGGTGGTGAAAGTACATATAGGTCAAGTGTCCACGAAAATAAACAAATTCACAGTTATGGGTAACTTAGTTTGCTGTTCTAATTATCCATAGAACTGGCCTGCGATGACACTAACAACATTCTTGGTGAGCTTTCAGCCAGGAGAGAACACCACCTTACCGGAAACAAGGTGACGTTGGTATGTTAATTGACAGTCTGGAAGAGCCACACCAGTAGCTTTAAGGTGCAGGTGACATTCTTAAGGTAACCATTACCATACAGTTATCAAAGAAAGTCTGTGGAAGGAAGAACATCTGAGACAGCGGAATCTTGTTATGGTGGATCTAAGCAGACAGAAGGTATAGGATGGCCACACAAAAAGACATAATTATACATGTAGAGCAATTCAGTTACAAATTACCTGCGTGTAATAGGATAGTAACTTAGAAATGTATCAAACAATCCTTAAACACTGTAATTCCTAAAGCTACCAGTAATCTCTAGCTTAATTCTTACAGTCATCACTACAAACTAGGGGTGCATACTTCACCATGATTTTATATTCGTGGTGCCTCTCTCCCGCATGTGAAATTATGGCGCCACAAATGTGAGTAAAATGTGTTTCTGTGCAAGATTATTGTTTTGACCATGAACTATGTACGTCGTAAAATCACTACATTCCCTTCCTACCATGAAATGAAATCACAGTGAAAATAGATTAATCTACACTACACAACAATAACAGATTAAGATGTTACCCCTCCATGAACATCGTTTTTACAGACATTTGAGGAAATGCATAAAACAGCCAAGACCTGGGAACTGGCTGACCAATACAGCAGTGAAGACCACACATCTGTAGTGAATTTGTCTGGTCTGGCTCCTGTCCATAAACACCTAGCTCCACTCCCTAGGTTACCTCCTGGACTTCATAATCAGACACATCCAGGAAAAAACACTTCCACAAGATGTTTTTGTCAGGAAATGACTCATACTACAACCTACACTTTAAATAACTAGAAATCACTTAAATCATACAAAAATTATTGATACAAAAAATACATGTTGACAGCAACTTCCAAGAATAATTTTCCCACAAATTACCTAATCTTTATCATACAAATCAATAGGGATTGTATATGAGGACTCAAGCGTACAAAAATCAATATGCTATCTAAATCAGAATTCAGTACACACACATGCGGCATACATGTATGTGTACTAATAACAGGGTCTAAACAGTAGTTTGTGCAAGCTGACATCCTGTCTGGTACTCGAAGGAAAAGGTATTATGACTAGCAGCACACAATAGAGTGGCCTGGATTTTATGACGACAACATTATCCAGTCGTCCATTGTTGTATGGAGGATTTATTACTGGCCCCCAGCCCTGACTGATAATAATCTTTGTCCTGACCTGTGCTGCTAGCTGTGCAGCTATAACATTAGTCTGATCAAAATTGGGCAAAGGAAAATGTCACCAACGTTATTGGGTAGACTAAGCAGAGGGTTGATGCAAACTTAAAACACATTTTCTTGCAAATCATATGTTTATAGGATAATAGAGATGGATGTCCAGTATATAGTGTACCTGTGCTTTTTTGAAGGTTAGCTTATAATCTATGATATACACATGTATGTACATTGTACACACCATTTCTGTCAAGCATTTTGTAGGTGGTAAGGAACATCTATTCTATGTGGAACTAAGATTGAAACGTTCCTGTTTAGAGTTCACAAATGTAGTTCTCTACGAAACAGTAGAAATACAATCAATAAACATATTTAGGGTGTCATGAATTTTCATAAAGAGGTCATGGTGAAAACAAAACCAATGCAAACATTTCAAGATTTGCAGTATTTCAATTTAAGGAAGACATTGAGTAATTCTAATACAAGAGCACCTTACTCTGAGTCAAATGAAATAGCGCAGGTGTCTGCAACAAACAATACGACCACCCTTCAAATATGCAAATAGAGCACACTGCCCGGCCCTCTGCAGACATCCTTGGGTTAGTAACAAGGGAGCATGTGTAGGTCTGTAGAGACATGTTCCCTGTACATGTGAGCCTGGTTACCATGGCCAACAGTGGCAACCTGGCATACTGAACATGCTTCATATGAAGGTCTAACTGTGAACACATCCATCATCAAGTCATTACATAAATACAGGGGAAACAGCCGTGGTGGAGGTGGAATTGAAATCCTGGTTGGATTGGTTTCTGCAAGGGCACATTGCCAAGTGGACAAATAATGGTCTGTCACCATTTAGGGCTATGCAAAATACTACTACAGAATGATTCCTACGGTACCAAAGTAACTATCATTAGCATCAAGGTGAGTCAGAAACTACATCAAACAGTGGACTTTTAGATGGGAGATTTCTAGTTTTTGCTACCAGTGTTTTCTGCACTCACACAGTCACAAATCGATTGTTTTGCAAGCAAACATGCAAATGTGTATAGAGGTAATCAATTAAGTCGTAGCTCCGTCATAAAAAGGAAATGGGGTGATGAAGCTAACATGCTGGCTTATCCGCGCATTAATTAGGAGCTCTGCCTGGAGGCATGTAATTCTGCGGAATGAATGAGACATATTTCACCCGCCTTCTCATAGTATCTGGCTCTGAGTCTGACAATTCATTAATAAAAGGCCTCACACTGTTCATTTCAGTAGAACTTTCACAAATAACATCTGACATACAGAGTTCCATATCTACAATATGCAGGCACCACCTTAGAAAACCGTACAGCGACATGTTGAATGCAGATGTCTTGTCCATTTGACCAACTGTTACAAAAAATATTTTGACTGGAATTTGAATTTTGCCCAGTTGTTACCCCTGTCAGCATAAGTACTAGGTTCACTAAATTGATAGGCAAGGGTCACACTTCTACAGCTTTAAACTATACATGAAAAAATACAAGTAGGGTGACAATAGTTTATCAATTTTAAATCAAACATAATTCTAGATACTTGGAATTGGAAATGCTTGGAATTAACAAACTTGCGATTTTCTGTAATCAATGAGAGACAAGGTAAAAATAGAGGATACTAGGGTGTGGCAAAATTTCTGTAAGGGGGGTCTGTAAATTTTTGTCCCCCATCCAAACTTCAAAATGGGATCTACCTCAGAATCAGGTGGCTGCCTGACAGACTCCATATATGGGCAAGAGGATGGCCGTTCTGGTCAATTACACTGTGACATCAGATTCAGAAACTACCACCCATTCCCAAAACCCCCATAAATCCCCTCACAAATACAAATGAGAATCGACATCTGCTGGGACTGCCAATTCCAAGTCTTCAGATTTTAGAAAAATTTCTGAGAAAAAAAATCACGGGCATTTCTTCATGTCCTCCTTTTCTATCATGTGTAACATGACATACCATGAAGCTATGGAAATACAGCAATGCGACATGTACAGAAAATATATTCCAATGCCCATTAGTAGGAAAAGGACTTGCTATTTATGTAACAAGGGCATTGGACATATAGACGCCTGAGGGATGTGTCCTTTCTCTGGCTGTGGTTACATGTTTTATCAAACTGAGAAACAAACCAGTCACAGATGTCCTGTGTTTTCTCTACTTTTCTTCCACCCTGTACAACTCAACCGGCAGCTGGGACTTGACTGAAATACCTGCCCGAATTCTCAAGGATACTTCAGTGAATAGGTCGCTGACCCACAGAGAGCAATATCTTTACTGTGTTGCTCGTGCTAATCTAAACACCGCGACCCCGCGTTTCAATACCGTGACCCTGCACGTGTGCTGTTTTACCTATGTGGAGATGTAAGGTGGAGCCACACGCCAGGCTACAACAATACACATGCAGGGATCAAAACTCTTCTGGGTGAATAGGTACACTGGTGAACTCTACGGTACCTAAAAATTTTTAGTTACTCAGAAATGTTCTTGAGTAAAATGTCAGCAAAACCTATTTACAAACCTTACTCAAGTTACCGATTATAGCTAACTTCAACTAATACAACAAAGGGATTTAGTATGAGGTGTATCTTAACATTTTTACCCCAACATATCAATAAACAGTTCTGTCAAGGGGGAACAAACACAGACAGGTGTTTGTAATAGTCTACATAAGGGCCAGTCAGTCACGGTTCTGTATAAGGGGAGGGGGCCCACACACATGGGTGCAGGGAAAGTCCCACTGGGCTCCAATAATAACTTACTACCCACAAGTATTCCCTAGGACAACAGATAAACACAAAGTAAACCTTGTCACTCCACCAACACAAATAGACCCAATAAATTTTCAATTGTACCGTAAGTTGCATTACCTATGCACTGCGTCACTAGGACTGTACTCTACAATAAAGAGAGATTACATTGAATTATGGGCCTTCACTTCTAATTTACCAGTGTGAATGTTTTTCTGCGATAACCGACCATCCAATCATAGTTCAGCTTGACAAACACATACCTGGTAGCCACCCTGCTATGCATGTATTATGATGAAGACTTACGATACATGTAAACCTGAAAGGATAAATCAGGCTAGCTGTCAACATCTAAAACTACCTTACCTGTATCAACTTGAAGAGCTCCACCGCTTCCTTCTTTAGTATCTTGTCTTCCGTCACGATAAGTGGCTGCTTGATGGGTTCTTTGCTCCAGGATAACATGCTGGCTACAGACACCTTCTTTTTGAAGATGCCCTTCTTAGGGATGGCCAGGTGCTCCTGGGCAAAGTTTTCGATGTCGCTTTCTGATGATGGCTTGCTCCTGAACACCCCGGGTGGTGATATGGCTGTGGCAGACGATCTCCTGGCCATTCCTGGCACCGTGCAGGAGCGAGGGTCATGCTGGAACAAGTTTGGGGCGTCTTTGACAGACAGATCCACAGACTGGGACTGCATGAGAGGGGGAGGGGGAGAGATGTTACTCTGGAGAGACTGACTCTTCTCTAGCGCTGTCATCGCGGAGCTGTCTGACTTCTTTCTTCTGAGCGACGCGTGCCACGAGTTTGGATCCGTGTTCTCATGTATCATCTTCGACCCGGGGGAGGGACTACTGAAGACTCCGTCGCTCTCGTACTCGAAACTCCCGTCGCGGAGAGAGTTACTAGCATTGCTATGTAAGGACTGTTGGGAGGCAACAAAACTATCTTTCCTGGCGGAGAAATGGTCGCCAGGGTCAGAGTAGCTGGGACTTCCTGGTGCAGAGAGGTGTGAACGAACAAGAATCGGGCTGTCCGGTGTTTCCCTGTCGTGTCTGCGCGATAAACTGGGGCTTCCTGGTACATGTGAGTAGTGGGAGTAGATGGGACTTCCCGGACTCTGTCGTATTGGGGCGAAACTGGAGGTGGACACCTGCATGTGGGAGTGTCCCATGGTTGGACTGGAGGGTAAGTCTCGCTGATGCGAGGATGACACGCTGCCCTGCCTGCTGTGGCTCGTGTACTGCTGCTCTCTATCTACGACACTCACGCCCATCCGAGGACTGGACACGACCTGCCCGTCTCCCGCTGCACCACGCTGTCTACTGTGCCCAAATGTGGTGAACTGGTACTGGTCCGTTTGGAACGAAGATGAGTAAGACTGTGTGTCCTGCGATACTTGCTGCCCTGTCGTTTTTTGCCGGGGGTAGTCTGTCAGCGGCTCGGTGGGCGCCGCAATCCTGGCGAGGAACTCCGTGTTGACGTATGTCGGTTCGTCATCACGATTGCGCGACCTCATGCTACCTTGCCGACTGTGCGACCCCTCGGATGTCTCCATGGGATAACTCTGTGACGTGCCATGCTGTGACGTAACACTCGCTTTCCGCGAAACCATCCTGCCATCTACGGTGTACGAGGTGTTCTGTAGAGACGACTTGCTACCCTGTCGACTGTGACTATTGGAGGGCGTGGAGTGTTCGCTCCCGTCTGAGGTACTGTATGGACTAGTGTGGCCTTCCCGCATTTCCCGTTCTGCCTGCGCCTGTTGTCGGGCGAGATACTGTCGTTTTGACGTTTGCGGGAACTTTGGTTTGTGTGACACTCTGGGGCTCATGGCACTCTTAGCAGCAAGGGAGGCTTCACTTCCTCTGTACTGGTGTGTCCCGTTAGTTTTAATTCTGGGCCTCTCCGCCCTAGGCGTCTCAGGGGAGGAGGCGGATGTCTGTTGTTGCATGCTATGTTTCCGTCGCTCGCTTCGTCTCTGCCTCTCGGACCGTTCGTGTCTTCGGGTGGAAGGGGAGTCGGTCCCCCTGCGGTACCTGGGCGAGCTGGCGAACCTCGCTTCATACGACAACGGTACCGTACTATTCTCCGCGTCCAGATCGTCCGGGGAGGTTTGAGTGGACATCTCGCAAGTGACTTTCCTGGGCCGACCGTCATCCGGACTCGACTCCTCGCGCACTTCTGTATTTTGTTTGAGAGTCTGTAGTTTGGCCAGCGGTATGATGTCGGCATTTTTGCGGGCGATGCCACACAGTTCTCTGAGACGTAGCGTTGTAGTAGTAAAACCTTCCGGCGTTTTGGTCGAACAATTCCCACCATTGATTGTCGTTGGTTCGCTTCACTTTGCAGCCGGGCGGAGGATCCCACACGCACTCGCCCGTGATCAAATTGGCGTACATGTGCTCTTTAGTCCTCGGCTCGATGATTTCCACCCATTCCACCCGTTCCGCCATCTCTGCGGATTGCTTATGGGTGTTCTTGACCCACAGAGAAAGGGCAAAAACTAAGGAAAAGGCCCCGGTTCGGACAAAGGGCTGGGACACTCCTCACACTTCCGCCATCTTGTTGTCATTCTCACACAGAGAGCATGCGCACATCGATGACAGCTAATTTTCCGATCCGCCTGAGACGAGCTCCCTGATTGGACAAAACCGGTATAATTTTACACAATTTCACGATATCACATTCAAATAAATACAGCAAAGTTGAACTTAGACCGAAAGATGGACAGAAGCGCAAACGGGGACAAATCATGGAGCGAAATCCTTGGAGTAACGGTCGGGACCGGGTCGCATGTCAAAGGTCAAAGACACACCTGTTTGGGGAAGGAAACGAAACGCGGAGGATGTTTTTGAAGTTTCCTGTCTTTATTCTGCTGTTTCAAGGTGGCGTTTCCGCCCCAGACCAGGACTGATCACGCACAGACGCCGACCGCTGACGTCGAGTCCCAGTGGCTGTGGGGAAAACACCACGGTAGGGCGGATCCTCACATATAGCACACACAAAATAACCACCGCCCCTCCCTCCCTCCCCTACAAATCTGTAATACCGGTAAACATTCGTGTTTTTATGTGTCCTTATTCGTGCAGCCACATGGCCTACATGTTATGATCTAGATAGATATTAGGTAACACTGCGCAGTCTTAAATACATGTATCGCCAGTTCCTCAGATGTTGAACTTGGCCGGATCCGGAAATAGTATGATGAAATAGTCATGGTCAATGCTAGCCCCGTGATTCTATACTAACACTATAACTCGTCTTCTATAGCAAGAAGAAGGACATATTCATAGGAGTGATTCATATTTGGTTCAATGTTCTATTTTCATTACTAGTAGTACTAGTAGTAACGTTACTAGTATTTTGATATTTGCAAAACCTGGATTGTATCAGTCACTGACATAACTTGTCCGATATTACAAATCACAGTGGCTGTTGACAGGAACATGCTGTGATAAGCTTATGACAAGCGTAAGTGTTCAATTGTTCCTCATCAGGACAGAACATGGCACCGAGGATAGACTGGCGAGACCTGCGGAGACTGTGCCACTGGGGCCCCATGGTGGCTCTCTTCATCATCATCTACTGCTACGTGATGGGCGTCGGCTGTATCCTCATCTGGTGGCCGCCAGTCACAGCCGCAGGTGGGTGGATCAGTTCACGATTTACTGTACGAAATACTGGGTGCAGGTGAAATTGGAGCTGTGCAGGTATTAAGTATTATCTGTCTACCTGCACCCAACCTGCACTGGTCCATGTACTGGGTATATGCAGGTTAGTGCAGGTAGAATTGGAGCTGTGCAGGTATTTCTGATGTCTACCTGCACCTAACCTGCACTGGTCCATGTACTGGGTATATGCAGGTTAGTGCAGGTAGAATTGGAGCTGTGCAGGTATTTCTGATGTCTACCTGCACCTAACCTGCACTGGTCCATGTACTGGGTATATGCAGGTTAGTGCAAGTAAAATTGAAGCTGTGCAGGTATTTCTGATGTCTACCTGCACCTAACCTACATTGGTCCATGTACTGGGTGTATGAAGATTAGTGTAGGTAAAATTGAAGCTGTGCAGGTATTTCTGATGTCTACCTGCACCTAACCTGCACTGGTCCATGTACTAGGTATATGAAGTTTAGTGTAGGTAAAATTGAAGCTGTGCAGGTATTTCTGATGTCTACCTGCACCTACTCTGTACTGGCCCATGTACAATGTACTATATTGCTGCAATTGACTGTTTCCACCTGTGAAATATAAAAGAAATAATGGCAATGTTTTCTGAACAGTTTTTAGTATGTGATCCATACTTCTCAAAGTCTCACTGTTTTCTCTTTCTCTACAGGAGTTGCTCACCTAATAGTGTACACAGCCTGGGAGCTGACCATCCTGTATAACTTCTTCTATGCCATGCTGTTAGGGCCGGGGTTCGTGCCACTTGGGTGGAAACCGGTAGGAAATAATTTTTTTTATATAATATGATGTTTTTTCATGCTTCAGGAAAATACCATTATACAAAAGCTTTATAAATTTTTCTTATGATTAAATATGAATTTGAAATATGAATATGGAAATTGATTTCAAATTCATCATGATTCATAATGTGGATATTTAGCCTAGGTTGAGAGGATTATGGAATACGATCATCAATCTTTTACTAGTTCTACCTTGGACCCTGAAGCAGGTTGATTTTGCCACCCCTAGTGACCTGAGACGGTATGACAAATGTGCAGATTACTTCATTAATCCTGCTGCATGAATCATCCTGGCACCCGTGGAACACGCCAGAGACACAGCAAGGACAACTGTATCTAGCCTGGGTACCATCCGGATTTGGGCTCTGCAATGCTAAAAAAAAATCTCAAGCGTTGCATAGCCAAAATCCGGATAGTACCCAGGCTAAACTAAAGCCTGATGTGAACTTAGTACACATGCTAATTTCTGGCAGACTGGGAAGTACAAAAATCAATATGTGGAGGGAAAAAGGAAAGTTCACCCTATTTCCTGTGCCTGACTCTTTGACCTGTCATTCTGCCTGTCAGTCTTCCCCCACCAATGTGCTGTGCAGACAAACAGAAACACAAAGCCACAGCTCAGCCACCTAAAACAATACAAGTAAACAAGCATCATGCTTCACCTCAGTTGAGGATGACAACTTTACTTTTTTAAGATGACAAAACTAACTAAAGACATTGTCAACAGTTTTATTTCCTGCAGGATATGATTCATTTGACATCATGTCTGTGGTAGGTCATTGTGCCATATATATGCTGATGTCAACAAAATTTCCCATCTGTTGACAAACATGACGAAGAAAATATCTATCAAAACTTTCCCCAATGACCTATTCATTGTTTCTGACTCATTCTGTCATCATTTCTGGGATCAAAACCAATATGTGCTTAATGACCAGAAAATTAGGAAATGATGAAATAAAGCCATGATTTTGCTTTCCATAGATATTGAGAAATTATAGACTTGTTTGTCACTATCCATGTATGTATCAATCACAAAAATTTTGATTTGGAGACTTGATTTCAGTTGATCATATCTCTGATGTTTCTTTATCAATTTCTTTGTAGTTACATGTACAGTATTATATGTCATTGGAAATCTTGATGTTTACCTTTCAAAGTGGCTTGCCATGTTAGTACATTTAAGGGTAGAGCACCAGGGCTGCTTACATGAGTGCATTGCACAAGAAAAGGGCTGAAGTTTCTCTTACCAGGGCTTCATGTCTTTACTTACAGGAAAAGGAGGCAGACTGCCAGTTTCTACAGTACTGTAAGCAGTGTAAAGGGTACAAGTCACCTAGATCCCATCACTGTAGGAAATGTAAAAGGTAAGGCAATTACTTCACAGTATTTTGTTTTAAATTTTTGCAGTGTAAATTGTTGGTTCTTGGATTGCAAAAAAAATGCTAAATGGGAGGGTTTAAGTTAAAGTTCAGTATACTTTTCACAGAATATCTACATAGGTAACAAGAAGATCCCAATATTTTACTCTTATTGTTGGGCAAATTGAAAAACTGTGCCGGTATGTACCTGGGTAAAAGAATAGAAATGAAATGAAATGAAATGATATGATATGATATGATATGATATGATATGATATGATATGATATGATATGATATGATATGATATGATATGATGACGTAGAAAACTCTGCTGTGTTTGCGCAGGTGTGTGATGAAGATGGACCACCACTGTCCCTGGATCAACACCTGCTGTGGCCACCTGAACCACACCCGCTTCATCCTGTTCCTCCTGTCTGCCCCGCTGGGCTGTCTCCACGCCACCGTGGTGTACGGCTGTACCATGTACAGGTACCTCTACCTGGTACGGACACAGCTATTCTCATCAAACACTAGTCATTAGCTTTAAAGTTTGGTAGAATACATCAGTTTCAGTTCATTTATTTCACCAGCCAGGTGCAAAACCTATTTTTCAGGCAATGCTGGGTATACACAGGATGATTAAAAAGAAAAGGCTTCTATAATCTTGACTCTGTCCCCCTCAGGGTTCTTCCTATTACTACCTGGTGGAGGACGATGATTTGGAGCCGTTGATTGACGTGGACCTGTACTTCTTTGCCATGCTGTTTTTTGCGACGGGACTGTCCATAGGTGTGACAGTAGCTGTCGGTATCCTGTTTTCTATACAGGTATGTGTTGTTCCCGACATTGAACTAAACTTCAGTGCCACCGTTACCTCTAGATGCACGGAAGGCATTAAATACCAGTTGAAAGAAAGTTTGGCCATGTTGGTAGAATTCATTTATATGACAAAGGATCTTTTGCAAATTCAAAGAATTCGACTTATGCTAGACCTAGTTTTTTTTTTTACTGTACAATGCCAGTCTTTGCCATGGAATAAATCCATTGCTTCTATGATGTCACTTTATGCAGGCCTCTGACATAGGGAGCAGTGAATCAAATGTAGGAATTTGCGGTGTCCCGTCTCTATTCAGGGATGGTTACAGGGCTTACTCCCCTTGTACTTGTTGGGTTGTTGGCATGTAACCTTTGGCATGCCTCCAGCAAATTCCACACCTTCAAATGCTACAGCTTATAAAGTAACTGGTTCACAAGTTTAAGTTGTTGAATAATATAGGATAAAGACATGTCATTTCTTTGCAAGCAATCACACAAGAAGCCTTTGTCCTGTTTTGTTTATAGATGAAGATAGTACTTACAAACCAGACGGGAATCGAGACTTGGATTTTAGACAAGGTTAGTGACATGAATCTCTACTGCACATGCTAACAAGGCTCTGAAAACAATGCCATTATTGTTAAAATGACTGCATCACTTGATACTTTTTTTAGTACTTGAAAATTTAAAAAAATAAACTCAGAATCTCTTCTGGTAGAATCAGTGATCTCTACCCTGATACATACATACATCGAAACCTATACGCGACCACCTCTACATAGGAATAATGTGATCATGTTTTTGGTGGTCCCTCAGATAATTTTTCCTACGAAGAATTGTGTCCATATAGAGCAGATTCTATGGACAGTTTGGACTGGATTCGACCACGTTTCTGACCTGACATTCTTGACGTGTTATCTACATTACAAGAGTTACACATATAATCTAAGTGTTTGACTTTCCAGGCCAAAGATCGTCCCCGTTTGGAAGGAGACAAGTTTGTGTACCCGTATCATCTTGGATGGCGGAGAAACTTCTGGGAGGTGTTTGCCTGGCAGGGGTACCCACGGGGTGATGGTATCACCTGGCCCGTTGTGGAGGGGTGTGACCAGTACACGTTAACTGTGAGTTTACTTATTTGCTTGTTTATTTGTTTGTTTCACATAACCAGTAAACTGCCTGTTGGCGTAACACACCAGTTTTGTACAGCAAGTACAAGCTGTGTAAGACCGGGCTGTGAGGTTTGATCCACTCACACAGGGAGGGACCCCTACTCTTGTCAGTAAGTGCACACTTGAGGTGTGGGTCTCCTCAAACAGAGGACCTCTGGCTTTATGTCCCATCCTAGAAGAGGTCTCTAACCAAAGCTAGGTACTCATTTTCACAGTATTCTCACGAGACAGAAAACATATAGATCTGGATACAAAGAAAGCAATTTACCAGCAAAAAAGACGGCTACTTGGACAACTAACAAGATCATTAAGTACAATTGGCTGGTTCACACGGGTACCAGTTGCCAAATACCTGTACCAGGTTCATACCTGTATGCAAATATCAACCACAGTACTTGCTCTGGTAATCCTTTACAAAAAGTGTAGGTGGACAGCCTTGACTGATACATTTACACATAGTTTGTGACTGGAGGCTGACATTACCATTCATTCCACACACCACAGCAGGGCCCACCTACCATGTAATCATGTTAAACTTGACCTGAGTAAATGGCTGACCTCAGGACAGATGTCCGCTCTAACAGGCAATGTCAGCATGGATAGCTTGAAGGTCAAGGAAGGACACTGGTAGATGTCAGCAGATTGTTGGCTGATGCGCATTGACAAAATACTTTCCTGAATAATTTTCACAAGAACTCCTGTCACTGTCAGTAAGGAGGAACATCTGTTTTCATTATTTTTCAAATTATGACAGAATGGCTGTTTTTCGTCAGAAAAGGGGTGTAAATGAATATATTGTCAACTCTTATAAATTCAATGGGTATCCAAAGACTGCCATGTTGAAAAATAAGTAATTGGTGCTATCAAGGCCTCAAGAATATATTAACCACCTGTACATGTATATCTGAAGTGTACATACCTCAGTCAGAGGTTACAGATTCTGTATTAGTAGAACTCTTTAAATTCACCGCTCCTTCCTGTGGCTGTATTAGTACTCAGGTTAAATTTACCAATGAGGGGATGATGACATGTTGTATTACTGATTGTTGAATATCTTTTCTCCCTTTTTACCAGGTGGAGCAGCTCTTACAAAAAGAAGACAAAAGAAATAGATCAGTGAGTAAAGATTGATTTATATATTTTATGTCTGCTATGTTGACCAAACAAGATTAAGAAATAAGAAATTCACAAAAGCTCTAAATTTTATGGTTGTATATGTGAGCTTCGCAGGCCACTGTTGTAAGGTGATTCAACTTGATTGACAATGGCTATAACATGTTTTCTGGTACTTCAAGTCACTGCTTCTACAGAGATGCACAATGGATATTCCATATGGACCAATAAGTAATCGCATGACCTCCATTACTCTTGACTGAACTGTCCATATATTTCCTGGTTTCGATGAATGAATGATTTGCGAAGGCGTTGTAGGTTATGTGGCAGGGGACCACTCTTCCTTCATGTCAGGAAGTCATGGCTGTGATAGCATGGTACCTTTTGGAAGGCGTCCAATGTAGGTAAACCTCATGGGAAACAGAGGTGTTTTTAAATGGATTTGTACTCTGGGCAGATTGCCATATGCTAGAAATGTTCACTCTGTTGTCGCCTCATCTCCATGAAAGTAGCCTGAAACACTGAAATTTTCATGAACCAGAGGAAGACATTGTGGCAATCTATAGGTTCATCTTAGGTGACAGACTGCACAGTGTTCTACTAGGCTGTGGGCAGGTTGTTAGGTTTGGTCTAGGAGATCTGTGATCAGTAAACTGTTCAAACTCATGTCATGGTTCAGGAAATATGGCATTTTTCCAGGCCAGATCCAGTTTAATTTCTTGATCTTGACTTCTTGGTTTCTCAAGATTATGCAAGAAAGAAAGCTAACTAGAGTTCCACGATCTCATACCTTTGCCAAATGATGTTAGCTTTTATGATTAAGAAATTATATATTAATCCCCCTAATTATGCAAATAGGATCCTCAATTGCATGAATTATATCTGTTGATCATATTCTCCACCAAAAGACAGTCTTATCTTAACAAAGAATGCCATGAGGAAACTTTCTCATAAATTATGCAAATGAGGTCCTTATTTGAATAAGTTATGTTTAATTATGTTCACCTTAATTTAACTTTCAAACACCCCAAGTATAAAATTCCAGGCAGTTACCACTATGCAATTATAATATTTTCTCATTAATTATGCAAATTAAGTCTTCATTTGCATAATCAATATCTGCCTGTGTTTCTCTCATTCTTAATAACATATGTCACAAGCTTGAACTTCCTATTATGGAATGCAGCTGATAAATAGAATTTCCTCATTAATTATGCAAATTACATCCATATTTGCATAATTGTAATATCATTATGTCAAGCATCACTCAAGCTACCTACATACCAAAAATCACGGTGATCCATCAATCGGTTCTTGAGTTATCCCCCTTTAAACATTTGTCCATTAAACCCCCCTGCAGTTCTAGAGCAAGCAACTAGGGGGCGTCAAACTCATGTCACTTTATCCCCAGCACAAGAGCTATCTACCATCTAAATTTCGTCACCCTAGCATGTCTGGATCATGAGATATCAAAACCGGAAGTTCTGCTGCAGTACCACGACAAGCCGCCAGGTGGCCCAAAAATTTAATCATTTTGAGGTCTCATCAAGACCTACCCACCTACCAAGTATCAAGACAATCCATCAAGACCTTCTCAAGTTATCGTGTTGACAGACACACACACACACACATACACGAACGCCCCTGAAAACATAACCTTCTTGGCGAAGGTAATAAGAAATCAAAAGTATTTAACCAAACAGATGGTCTGAAATACTTTCAACAGACCTAGGACAGAGACCTTGCAGGCTGAGAGCTTGTTGTGACAAGCCCTATGTGGGTATACCCCTAGTAACTGTGTGTGGACTCACTTTCTCTAAGGTTGCTGGGAGACCATTTAGACTACAAACTTGACCTTAAGGTCAATCTGTGGTTACAAAATCTCCTGCCACTCTATTTCATTCAAATACTAGTACGTAGAGACAGTACTACAATAGTAGAAGGCAGCATTTTCTTGGTCTCGTAAGACCATGAAGGTACATCTTCTACACCATGTACCACGTGGAGACAAACACACCCAAAACGACTGACCCTCCTTGTGTTCCAGGTGGAGTTTGCAATAGTAGACAACTACAGTGGCTCGTGGTTCCCCATTACTAAAGGCATCCGAGTGTGCTGCTGTATACCATGTACAGAGGAGCCCAGGATCAAGGTCAAGAGAGGGGACGTTGTCATGGTGACAAGGGCATACAGGTCTGTTGTGTTCTACGTCAACTCTCAAGTGTCAGTGATAGAAATACCCCCCACCCTGCAGTCTGCATTTTGCAGAGACATTTTCAATATTGCAGGAAGAAAAAAAATTAATCTACTTGCAATTTTGCAGTCTGAAAAAAAATAAGGCTAAGAGTTCAATGGTGTCAGCATAATGTTGTTTAAGAGCTTTTGTGTTTATTACTGACTCTATTATACGCAGTAATTTTTCATAAATTTTTTTTCAAATTGCATGTAAGATGTTTGCCAACATGCAATTTGTTAGTTTTTTTTAGTTACTAGTACTGAGTCACTAGTTTTTGCTGACATTCTACTTTTTTTAGGTTGGGTACACCAGTGCACCTATTCCCAAAAATGAATTTCAAGCCCTGCTGCATAAGTATATCTCCAATCTCCAATGTTTTTTCCCATTTCATTTGAACAGGAAGTGGCTATATGGGGAAAAGGTCACAAGAATAAAGGATGGTAAGATTTATTGCTTTCCTTTTCTTATTGTACTTACAGTATAACTTTTGTTGGTTTAAAACAGGCAGTGAAATGTCATAAGTCAAAGAATACTTTTGCATCCTCTTTCTGCCATTTTCTCCCAGATTTAGAAGTTCTGATCCCGCTGTGCTGTTTTTGCAGGTCCCCCAGAGAAGGGATGGTTCCCGCGACCGTGTGCGGAGAAAATTATCAACGAGCTCCACTATCCACAACAGAGCCAGGCAGATGACTTTGAGCATGACAAAAAGGAAGACTGAAAATATTTTTTCCACACAGAGAATTTTTTCAACATCATTCAGTAATTTTGTACATCAGTATGATTCCACAGTCATTGATCTCATCCTCTTAATTTTCTACCAAATCCAGAGGCAGCTTCCAGGGATCTGCAGTAGTTATTGCAGTTTTCATTGAAGTCCCTTGGGGGCACTCTTTCCCTACATGCTGTTAGGTGATGATATACAGTATCCCAATGAAAGATACTCATTTTGTTAGAGGGTATTGTTTTTGTAGAAAGATAGTTTTTCAGTACGGTTGGTACTACCAGTTGTACATTTTGTAGATGTGTTTTCATGAAAATCATGTTTTTTGTAATGACAAAGATATATCACCCTTGGGGGAGTACCTGGAATTTGTGTTTAATTTGATAGGTAACACTGGATAACCAAGGAATTGAATTTGTATGGGCTTATTGTGCAACAAATGAGCAATATTTTCTAGGAATCATGCATCCTACCAGAGTGTTTTGTCCAATTTGATGTGTAAAGTGTCTTGATCAATTAGTATCAAGTCTTCCTGATTCAGTACTGAAGTAAGTACGAGTACTATGAGTATCAGTGCCCCAGATTTCTGTACACAGTGCTTAATGTTTGAGTGGTGATGTTTCAATTACAGAAAATGATCACTGACCAAAGAAAGTGACATAGTTACATGATCCTTCTTGAAAACCAAAGTACCGCCAAACAGGCCTTGTCCTTAACTTCATATAACCAACACGTCAGACTAGTTTCAGAGGTGACTAGTCTGCGGTAGACACTGGAGAGATGTTACTTTTGATGTGTGACATGAAATAGTCAACAGTAATGTTAAGTTCAGCTTTAAGGCCTCCTTTCTATTTGATGGCTATTGCTGTGACCAAAATTTGTGTGACCCTATAAGATGCAAGATGTTAAGATATGATTTAGAAGACAACAAAACAGAAAATGTTATCCATGAAATTCATTGAGTGAGCCGTCAAATCTTAGGTTGCTCTATGGTCATTTAGCAGCTACAGTCTATAGTGGAAAGGGAATGTAAGACAGCAATCTTTTCCTTGGGTTCATAGTTTTTGCTGACAAAGTGGGTTTGATGTTCCCAGTTAAAGACAGCATGGAGAACTCAGGGATTGACAAAATTGTGCAACCAGAATCCAATGAGCTTTTCTTCCTGTGTTATATTGTAGCTTACTAGTTTACCTATGCCTGTAAAATAATCCTGGCCATGTAGATTTGTTGTAAAAGTGTTAGAATTGCTTCTATATAAAAGTTGTCAGGTCCTCATATATGCAAATGATTTTGCAAATAAATATCCAATGAATATTGCAATAGGTCTTATATCAATGTAGATGGATTGGTTAGTGTCATTGGTGTTGTACAGATGGTTAAATATGGTTACGAGAATTGGTCAATGGTGTCTTTATATATGATGTGTTTACATAGAAGAAGCCTAATGATTTGTATACATTTCTGTTGGAGAAAGATCAAAGTGTAATCTTGGATGATTAAAATCTACCCAAGGAATGAACCAAGTAGGATCATGTTGGGTAAAACAAAAGGGGAAAAATACCAGGTTAACTATAAAATTACTTTGTAAATAGCTTTATCGGGTTGGTAAATGACTTGCAAGTTCTTACAGGTGATTAGCCAGTTTTGTCACCCGTATTTCTATTTTTTGTCAGCTGCCTTCTTAACATACTTATGTACTTATTGCAAGATTCATTTCAAGAATCATCAGATCTCAAACATGACTGAATTGTTACTGACCAGAAAAATTTGCACAAAACCTTCCCTTTCTGTCAGGAACACAGACTGTGGCTAGTTACAAAGGTGTGCTCTATCTTCTGTGTAGAGGGATTAGCTTACATACTGTTCCACATGATTTTTGAGCTCAGTTTTAGGTTATCATGGTTGTGCATTGTTCAATTCTATTCAAAGAAAGTAAATGTAACATGCAATAAAAACAACTGTTTTGATTTAAACTTTTGATCCAACACAGAAGTTCTCTCATCTAGAGCTTTCAACCAGTCACTCTGGTCTTCCTCAGTAGACTGACCCAGTGAAGCTTGTCACGTGTCTTTGAATTGTGACGTCAACACTGGGTCAAAGGTACGGACCATCTGGTAGACAATGTCAGCCCCCATCACGGTCTAGGTGAGAACTTCTTTGTGTTGAATCAAAAGTTTTAACTTAAAACATGTAACTACCAACACAGATGAACTTTCATGATGATAAAAACATCTGTTAAGCCTTGTATGCAGTTAACTTCTCAATGGTGTTTTTCCTATGACTTGTGTTGATATGTGTACCATACATACACTTAGAGGTGTACATGCAAGGTTAGAAAATACTAGTACTAGCTGCAAGGTTTGCGTTAAGTTATTGTGGGTGATTGATTGGTGCTCCTCGGTGCAAACAGAATATTTTGTAATTAAAGATTTGGCAGAATTGTTCTGATGACTTGAACTTAATGACTGGTATTTTCCTTAAGAAATATGCACTATACTTCCAACTACAACAAGGATAGCATATGCAATGAACATTGTTTCATGGCTTTTATTCAAAAAGTAAAACTTTCAATTTCCAACACTTTTACATACATACCAGCCAAGTGGTTTCTCTTGACTTTACATAAACAAAATAGAACATCTGTTTTAGCCTTCTGTTCCAAAGACTAGCACTGGCACACTATAAAAGTAAAACAAAAATAGACAGTTTTTATTGATGTCCTGCAAGCTAACAATACTAAATGTCTCCCATTGAAGTGGCCAAAACCACCAAACAAAAATTCCTAGGAAAGTGGAAAAATGGCTTCCCAATATTCCTATACTGGCACGTTTTAGTCACATATTGTTTGAAAGTAAGGAAAACAGTACTAGTAGTCAGTATTGCATAACTTTCCAGCTCTTACACAGTCATACATTGTATGTCAATCAATGTTTCATACAATACCACTATAACATCAGGTTTCATAAACACAGCTGACTATGAAAACATTTTGGCTACAAGATACTAAGTACATCCACAGAAACAGACTGAGGACTGTTATATGTACACATACTGGCCAGACTCTGAGTAGTGGAGACTCTCCACTATTTTGTGCTGGATGCAGATACCCACCATGCACATTTCTTGCAGCAATAACAACTTGGCTTCAACATATCTTTACATGTACACATTAGGATACTCTTCAATAGTAACCAACTTTTCAACAAAACACTTTCAAAGTATTCAAGAAACAGTACAAGGATGCACAAAATAACAAAATTTACAGTTGTTACAAGTACGGTATCTTTTGACCTATGTACATCTTTACGCAATAATTCTTAGTCCTCAACATTTATTTTTTGTCCTCATTTCATCACTACTGAGCCATGCCTTCCTCTCTACTGGTCTCTAGTACATTAATAGTACAGGAATGGCATCCACTAGGGAGCAGCAACCCTTTGTTATTGTCCTGCAACATTTTCTTCCACAGAAGGCCTGAATATGTAACGGACAATGCTGTTTCACGGTGCTGTTTCACACTGCTACAGTTGCTGTCGGGAAATGATCTGTCTCTACACTCAACAGTTGAAGAGCTAATATCTCCGACAGTCATTCCATTGTTGACAGTTAGACTGGCCCATGTTCCATTGCTGGCGTTGGTTATACTGGTCCATATGTAGTCTAGGTTCCACCCTATTTGCCATATTATTATTATACCTGGTTGGGTCAATACCACGCGACCAGGGCATGTTGTTAACATTGTTAGGGTGTTTGACATCCAGGAGGGATGGGATATTTCTTATCGCAGCTTGTCTGTCTATGAACCTTGTTGCGCAGTTGTTGAACACCGGCTGGTTGATTTGCTGGTATGTGTTCCCATCCCTTACCCAAGTCCTGGTCTCCCCGTTTTGTTGGTTGCACATGGAGTTGCCTTGTCTGCACAGCATGTTAGCTCGACTGTTGAAATAGCCCTGGTTGTTTTGGTAGTTTCTTTGCACTTCTATTCTTCCTCTACTGAACAAAATAAATAAAAAAAACTACAATCATGACAAAATCTAGCTAACTGCAAGAAATACAAGAGTGGAAGTATAAAATGAAACATAATACAGTTCAAAACTTGAAACTATAGACAAATTACATCAAATGCCTAGCTGGTATTACTAAAAGTAAGTACATTGAAGAAATAAATTGAAGAAATGCAAAATCTGCAAAAAAAAAGTATAGCTACACTGGAGAGAAAAAAAAAGGTTAGTCAAAAATCTACATCTAGAATCTGACAGAAGAGCTACTATAGCTTAATCTTATTTTATTGAATATTGGAATGTGTTGAAATCACCAGGTCCATGTGTGGAAGTCAGGCTTGTCTGTAGTTTCTCTTGCTTCCACTCTGGCAACCAGGTGCAAAATCTAAACTGGAATACTGGAATGGCAGGATGGTCATGCTTAATAATTTCCTTTGACATGTCATTAATATGTATCCATTCATCTAAAAGATTGTCAAGTCATAAAAATAGAACTCACTTTGGCCATCTTCCTCTCCGGATTCCACGATTCCTCTTTCTGAAAGACTTCTGGCTTGTCTCTGTATCATTTGTTTTATTGTCGTCGGATGAGTCACTTGAGTCCTTAGTTTCTGTAGTAACTGCAGTGTTGGAATCCGAGGCAGTACTGTTTGTTTTTACAGCAGCTTCTAGTTGGTCTTCCTGCTGTGCTGCTGTATCTGGCGGTGCGGCAGTGGGCTCTGTGTCAGCACTACAATCCTCTGTGAACATTTACAAAAGGGAACATCAGTTCCGCTTCTTTTAACATGTCAAATTGTGAACACTAGCATTCAAAGGCAAAACACTTTTAGTGCATGTAATAGTTGATTAAGTGTCTAAATTGCCATTAGAATATTATGGAAAGAAAGTAACTCCATATGCCCATGTAAAAGTTGTATAATAAAAGTTCATACAACTTTTCTGTTTCTGCAAACGGATATAATACGCTTAAAGCTAAATCTTTGAAATATTTTTCAATGGCATGGACTGAGTACCATTTGCTGTGGAAAGAAGTAAGCTCAGTTGACCAACCTGGCTTGGAGCTTGTGCTATCACTCGGGTCGTTTTCACTCTGGATGGACGTACCACTGACCGCTGGGTCCGCTTTCCCTTCCTGACAAAGAAAGCGCTATGTGAGATTATGCACAATCTAACACCAAAGTATTCACCTGTATTCATGCAATAAATACAACAATGAGAACCAAGAGATACATGTACATGATATTTCTATTAGGCAGATATCTCAAAACCAATTATAAAACAGTTATATAGAAAAGTTATAATTTGCAATAATGCAAGTGGTTTGTGGTACTCACAGGTTGGGATGGCAGGATGACAGCATAGAATTTCCCGTCCCACATGACCTCATCCTGAACTGGTGTTCCTGGTGTTGTCGGTAGGCTGTCTACAGAAGGGGCAGAACAGGCATCTTCTACTAGTTCTAGAGTACGGCAGCTTGGTCTCTGTCCATCTACAGCAAGTTGCTCCTTCCGGGAGAGACAGGCTTCAATGGATGCTGGATTCTCTTCTCTGCACGGTGTATCTGACATAGTGCTATAATCAGTGCCAGTATCTTTCCTGGAGTGACTGACAGCTGATGAAGGACTTACTTTGTCATCTTTTGCCCCTTGAGCTTGCAAATTACAACTGGAAACCATCGCACCACCATCTACAGCTTGCATAGTTTCTGCCTGTGCAGAAGGACCTTGTTCTGGATCACATGTCTCATCTTGACAAGGTGTGTCTGGTGTCAGGTTTACAGTGTCTTCCTCCTTCAGCTTGAGGGCGATTTTAGCTTTCTTGATGACTTTCTCGAGATGGATCATCATGAGCTGGTTGATGTTTTTCAATTGCCATTTGTGCTGGATGGTGAGGAGATGGTCCAGCGTGTTCCGGAGATCTTCTGCAGACATTGATTCAATCCTGAACATCCTTTCTCTGAACCAGCTCATCACCAGTTCTGTTCTTTGTTCATACAGGTCATCCAGCTTTCTCTGTATCATCTCTATCGCTTGAGGTGAGGATCTCTTCATCATACTCATTATCTTCTCCAACCGCAAAATTTCTTTCTGTACAGGTGTTACACGGTTAGAACGCCAGCTGCAAAGTCGATTCCTTCTTCTCTGAAAAACATGTAAACATCTCATGCTGTAGATGCACACTTTGGCTTCCAACAGCTGTCCTGTTAAGGAATCCTGTCTCTCTTTCACAGTACTAGAGTCAGAACGATGTGAGATTGATGACAGACTGCTGCGCTGTTTAGCTAGTTCTCTGAGCCTCTGCTGGTAGTACGCTAGGGTCTCTTCTTGACTCAGAAGTTTGCCCCCTCTCTCCTTTGTGGTAAGCAAAGGGTCGTTTTCGAAGTTTAAAACGGGCAAGTCTGGTACTGTACTTTCAAGATAACCGTCTGATGGATTGACTGAGCTCTCCACTCCACTCTCGCTTTGCTCTGACACTGCACTCGTATCCGATTGGGAGTTTGCTGTATGCATCAACCTTAACTTGCTTTTCACAGCACCGAGACAGTCACAAACACTGGATTCTATTTGACAGTCTACATCCACATCAGAGGCATCAGGCAGTTCCAGTGAAGAGGGCACAACAGGTGCTTGACATGTGCTTTTAACAGCAGAGTGTTGATTAATCCATTTGTCAACGACCTTGGACATGGAGACTTCATCTGCCACAACCCGGTTGTCCAGCTTCATTTTCTGCTGAAGCTTGACTGACATCGTCCGGTTTCCTGATTCCTCCTGTTTTCCCCGTGGTGTCTTTTTCTTACCAAAGGACTTCTTGCCATCAGTACTCTTTCTGACATGACTAGGTTTGGGATCGCTGTGCTGTCTGCTCTGACATTTGTGGTGCAAAGGATCAATTTGCTTCATTTTTCTTTCCCTTGGCTTTACAACAGCACTCTTCTTAGCAATGGAATATGATTTATCTGAAGACTTTGAAGGCTTAGGAGAACTGCAGTGTCTGGGCTTTGACGGGAGATCTTTGCATAGCAAGTCACCAGACGTCTTCATCTCAGCTGTACAGTGCTCAGGATGGTCATACTTCTGCTTCTTGGAAGAGATACTGCCTTTCTCAAGTTCTGTCTTTCTCTTCGTCTTCTTCTGTACAGACTTGCCACCCTTGATTTCCTTCTCAGAGACAATCTTTCCTTCCTTCATGTCAGCATCAGTCCGTTGGCCTCCATCCCTAGTTAAGGTGTTTACTTGTTGCACTGTGGTGTTCATGTTGTAGCACGTTTGGCCAAAAGCTGACACATCTGGTGATTTTGACATTTTTGTTTTACCTGCACCATGGACTTTGGGTTGGATGGACATCTTGCCGTCACTTTGCAAGTCAGCACTCTCATCTGCCATTCTTCCACGTAGTTCACTAACTGAACTGAAGGACACTGTTCGTTGAATCCCATGGTGTGGTGTTTTAGCATCGGGTTGTTCTCTTTCTTCATTATCAGTCTCCAGTATCATGCCCCTCTTGTTAAGTTTGCTGACTTGTTCTCGGAGATCCTTGAGGATCTGTCTCCTCACTTCCACTATGGAGTCTTCCCCACTGCTACTGCCTTTTGCAGGGTTTGGCTCGGATTGCCTTCTCTTCCTGATTCTTGGATCCCTACAGATATTGCTTGAAATGGGGGTGAGGTTCCTTGGCCTATGATCTTGATAATTAGGTTTGGATGCAACAGCTGGGGGCAGTTGTTGTTGAAGTGCACCTGAATGATTCCTCAAAGAGGTCTGCAGAGTCTTTATCAGTTGTTGCCCAACTTTCTGTACAAGTTCTGGAGGAGATGCAATGCCCAGAGTGTCATGAGATACTGGAGAATAAGTGGGAAGACTTGTCTTGGATGGTGAGTGGTGAGTTGAAGCTAGAAGTGTTTTGGGTGCAGATTCATGTCTCCGCCTCTTTGCTGGACTTGGGTAGCTCTCCCACTGGTCATAGGAGGGGACTTCTAATTCAGAAGTCTTGATTGAGTTTGCCTTTGTTCGAGGATCCTCAGGCTCTGCCATCTGGGAGTCTAGGGGAATTGGAATAGGGTTGGCATACACAATAATCCCAGATGGCATTACTTTGGGACGAAGCAGCTTATGTTTGTGAAACATAGGATGACTGCCTTGTTCCTTCTTCTCTGTTGCACTTGTATGTTGGCTTTCACTCGCAAGTGTCTCTGCAAGGGAGGGAGGGGAACTTCCAGGGGATGTTATCTTCAGAGACAATGTCATTGATTGTCCATCCCTACCCGACATTGCTGCCCGTGGGACAGACTCATTTCTGTCTGTAGGTGGAGACAAAAGAGCTTTGATTGACAGATGAGGGTCAGTGATGGACTCTCTGAGAAAGTCTGGGGGCTGTCTCATGAATGTTTCCGTCTCATCTATCGGGGGAGTCTTTCTGTCTGCCGCTTTCTCCAACTCTGAAGGATCATCAACCTTACATTTGATAGGCTGAAACAGATGGCTAGCATCTGGGCTTGACTTCACTTGGTTTTTCAACTGCTCCTGATGATAATCATCATTCTGCATTTCCGCCAGTGGTGCCTCTATCTCCAAGAGAGATGTCTCTGCACCCCGTCCATTCTCCAGAGATGTCTCTACATCCTGTAACTGTGACAGAGGGGTTGTACATGTACTCTGCATCTGTGACAGTGGTGTCTCCATGGAAGGTGTCTCTTCGCTCTGTGCCTCCATAAGTGGTGTTTCTTCACCTGTTGTCTCTGTCAATGCCATCTCTGCATCCTGTGTCTGGTGCATCTGTGTCTCTACACCCTGTAACTCTGCTAATGGCATGTGTTCACCCTGCAGTAACAACTTGGTTGGTACCGACAGGTCTAGAGACATCCACTGGGGCCCATCAGTACCAGATTCTCTGATGACTCCTGGTATCGAGGCAAGGAAACTTGCAGTTTCATTTATCTGAAAGTCACAAGAGTCTTCATTCCAAGTGGGGCTATAAGGTGCATCTTGATCGTCTGGAAGGTTTTCAGGTGAATCCGGTTCTTCTGAGGGTTCTGTGCTGCTGGTATCCATGTCCACTAACATGTAATTGTCCTGTGGATGACAGTTTGACTCTTCTACACTGGTGTCCATGTCTACCAACATGTAGTTGTCTTGTAGGTGAGGCTTTGTTGAATCTTCCGTCATTATCAGGGCACTCACCTCCTCTGGCTGACTTTCGGAAGAGATGTCCATATCCACTGAGTCATCATCAACAGACACATCCATATCTACAGGGTTGCCGTCATCTTTTCCATGAAACTTACTGCTTGGAGAGCCATGGGCAGCTTCAACATGTGTTGTGCCATGGTCTTCAGAACTCTGGGCAGAATCTGTCGGGACTGATCCCTTGGTTTGACCTGACGTCTCATCTTCCTTGCTCCATCCAACAGTATCTTCAGATGGTTCTGTTTCACAGGTCTCCAGGTTACAGCCATGTTTTCCATGAAGTTCACTGCTTGTGTCATGCTCTTTGGACATCTGGAATGACTCTGTCTGGACTGACCCCTTGGTTTGACCTGACGTCTCTTCACAAGTCTCCTTAGGATCACTTGCAGATGAGACGTCCTTGATTTCTGCCCCTCCTGTCTCTTGGAGTACTTTCATGGCCAGGAGGATACGCTCTCTTTCTGCAGCAGTTCTGACATCCTTCAGCTTTACCTGCATCTCTCTGTATAGCTGCTCAAGGATGTCAGAACTACCAGGCTTGACCTCTGTCCCTTCTTCAGGCAACTTGCCTATGGAGAGTTCTGCTTGGGCACAAGAAATCGGATGAATGCTGCTATCCTTGACTTCCACCTTGTCATCGGGAACTTCTGGTATGTGGGTTTGAGCAGCACCAGCCTGGACTTGCAAAATCTCATCTCTTGAATCTGACGTCTTGTCACTGGAAACTTGTGCTTTGTGTTGAGCATTGCCAACTGTAGCTTGCACAGTCCCTTCTTGAGACTCTGACACCATGTCATTGGAGATGTCTGAGGGTCGAGGAGTGCCAGCCTTATCTTGTACAGTCTCTTTCTGTGACTCCTCATCATTGGCTTGAGTGGTGTTTCCTTTAACATGTGCACTCCATTCTTGTGACTCAGGCCCCTTGCCATTGAAAACTATTGGTTGCGTGCTAGGCTTGGGTTGAGCACTGGCACTGGAAACAACAGAACTTCTGCTTCTCTGTACCATCTGCACTGAAGATCTCCCTTTGGGAATTGTAGTCATTTTTTGCCCCTTCTGTACATGTTGTGAAAGACCAGAAGAGCTATGCTTATTTCTAACTCTTATTTCTGGCTTTGCAGGCTCTTTACAAATCTTCCCAGTTGTTGGCGCTACTTTTTCCCTTTTGGTATCAGTACACTTCACCTCATGTCTTCGCCTCTTGGACACATTTCTCAAATGCTCAGATGGAGCATTGGACTCTACTTTTCTCTTTTGTCCATGTTCAGTTCTTTCTACTAAGCGACTGGTTTCTCCTCCATACATTGCTTTCTGTGAAGGGCACTGTAATTTGTCTCCTTTTCTGGCTGACATTTTCTGCCTGTCCTGCCTTTCTTTTAACTTATCACCACCAATACGTGAGTTTGGGTATCTGTTTTTCCAAGTCTTGGTCTTACATGTAAATGAGTGTGCACTTCTACCTTGGTGCTTCAATTTCCTCTCCAGCTTTTTACTGTCCTTCCATCTTTTGCTCTTCTTTCTGTTTTGCCTTTTCCAGTTGTCCCATTGCCTTTGCAGCTCAGATTCCTGTGCCAGTGCACTGTCAATATGTGACGAATCAGAAGCAGGCTCATCTCTGGTGCTTGGCTCCTCAATGTTAGCAAGTTTTCCATCATCAATGTTTATTGGACAACTCTTGACACTGTTGTCAACCTGTTGTTGGTCTACAGCACATGAGTGCACCTGTCTGCTCTTGAATGAAGCTTGCTTGACAGCCTTTGTTTCTTGCTCCTGTAAAAGTGCTGCTGCTTTGAAGGACTGTCTTTTTTCCTTCCATTGTTGCTTGCTGACATTTCTATCAAGCTTTTTAAGGCCCATTTTGGTCAAAATCTTGTTTGTTGGCACTTGACATGAATCAATTAAGGTGATCTTCCTTTCATCCTTTGCTGAAGGAGATGTTACATTGATCCTCTTTGCATCTTTTGATGGCGAGGATACCTCCTCAGGCTGTGCAACAGGAGACTCTCTTTGGTCAGTTGATATGATTTCATCAGGGGACTGCATTGTATCGAGCAACAAAGATAGCTCTGGACACCGCACCTGCCTTAGCCTGGTAGTAAGGCTTGGTTTCCCTTCATCTGCCAATTCACCCCTCTCCTTTTCGGTCCTACATACCTCAGTTTCTACCTTTTCGCCAGTGGTGGGCACTTTTGTGACAATATTCAGATTGTGATCTGTTTTGGCAGAGTTACTGGCAACATTTTCAATGCATGCTTCCTCTTCATTCTTGTGCTCAACGCAGCTTGATATTTCTTCAGCACTGTCAGTTTTAGGCACATTCTTGGACTCTGATGACACATTTTGCTGCTCCACAGCAAGCTGATCAGTTGACATAGCATCCCTTGAGTTTGAAGATGTACCTGTACATTCTGGGTTATCAACTGACTCACTGGAAAGCACCTCTTTAGCATCAAGTGATTCTTCGTCCCTTCTGTCTTCTATAGATTCTGTACTGATTGCTTTGTTACTTTCTCTCACATCTTGCTCATCACATTCCTCCACTTTTATCCCATCTGTGGTCATAGCTGTACCCTGGTCAGGAGAGGCAACATGGCAGACAGCTTCGTGGTCAATGTTTGGGTGCTGTAATGCCCCAGAATCATCAAAAGAGTCTACAGGTTCCTTCTTTACAGAAATCATGTCCTTATGGCTTGTATGGTCTTCATCTTGAGATTCGGTGGCTGCATGGATTGACTCTTCTGACTCTGCCTCCTCACTGTCCTGTCTCTCCACACTAACTTCTGAGACTGATGGGGATTCTGCCACATAGGAATCTGCTTCCTGAGAGAGTTCATCTTTCCTACTTATAGATAGCTGCCTTGAATCTGAGGACATTGCAACCTGAGGTTCCATCACTCCTCCCTCAAGTTTTGACTTATCTCCATCTGGATCTTCACAGGTTTTTTCTCGGGTGGATGGTATGGAACAATCTACTGGCTGCTCATAATTTTCTTGTTCTAGATAAGTTAGCTCATCCACTAGCTGCACCGGAAGTTCTGCGTCCAGAGAGAAAATGTCAAAGTCTGATAACGGGGAGGGTGGCACTGGGAGATCTTGTTCATACTGCATAGCGAGGTCCATTTCCTCTTCGGAAGTATCTCTGTCCTCTGGGATGTCCTGGGGACCATCTCTACAACTCCAAGTGTCCTCCTCTTCCTTGATAGCAACATGGCTTCTGTCTGTATTGTCATCTGTACCGACTTGTTCAGCCACAGTGTCCACATCACCGGTCTCCTCTGTCGGACTTCTGCAGATATCATAGTTGTCACCCTCCTGATGGGGCTCCTCCTGCATGCCATCTTCCTGTTGAGGAAGGGAATCCATCTCTTCTTCTGCAGCATCACTGCCTCTGCTCGAGGTATCCTCTTCGAGTGAGTGAACTTCTACCAAGTCCAAAGACCTTCCCAGGTCTTCAATGAAATCCAACCCATGGTCGAGAACACTATCATTATCTTCTTCACTTTCTTCATCTTCAGTCTGAAGTTCAGAAGGCTCCTTGTCCTCACCAATACACCCCACAGCTTCAGATGTGCAAGGGGAGGGTGCAGTGACAGTGCCACAGTGACTGATGTTTGATTCAGCTGTCATCGTAGGGACATTTTTCTGGATAGGCTCAGGTGCTATCACTGTCTGTATTTTGGATACTTGTTCCCTGTCTTCATCAGTATCAGTCGATTGGGGGGACTCTTCATCATTAAGAGCTATCACAGTCTGTGTTTGGGATTCTTGTTCCCTGTCTTCATAAGTATCTGCAGACTGGTGGGACTCTTCATCATTAAGAGCTATCACAGTCTGTGTTTTTGATACTTGTTCCCTGTCTTCATCAGTATCAGCAGACTGGTGGGGCTCTTCATCAGTATCAGCCGATTGGTGGGACTCTTCATCATTAAGGGCTATGACAGTCTGTGCTTGAGATACTTGCTCCTTGTCTTCAGATGTAGCAACAGAATGGTGGGACTCTTCATCATCTGATCTTGACTCTGTTGGGTTGACTTCAGAAGCACTTATATCTAGACTTGTGTCCGAGCTTTTAATGCTGTCTTCTTCATCACCACTTCCTGTCCAGACATCCAAGGTAAGGTACTGATCTGACAAGCTACTCTCTGAACTTGCACTTTTCCTCCTTCCGATCAACAGATGGTCGAGGTTCTCCAGCATCACCACTGCTGACTTGATTTTAATGTCATCAGCATCTGGTGGTGACCTGGTATTGTTAGAGTTCTTCTTCAAAGTGGGGGCTTTAGGAGACACAACGGTTGAACTTTGGTACTCTCTATGCATGAAGTCCACTGGTTTTCTCTTCCTGGCAAGCTTTGGGTCTTTTACCCTATCCATGATGTTGACAGCTGTTTCAGAGTCCACATGACTTTCATCTGGTTCTGTTTGTCTATGACAGGCACTTATCCCATCTTCTTTCTCATGTGTAGCAACAGACATATTCTTATTGGTAGCAGGTGTGAATTTGGCTGTTGTGGAGTCCACATTACTTTGTTCTACTGGTCTTCCACAGGTACTTGTTACAAGTTCTTTGATAGGTGTAGCAACAGACACACTTTCTTTGGCTGCATGTGTGTTTTTGGCTTTCTTCTTTTTCTTTCTCCTGTCTTTTTCTTGTAAAATCTTCCTGTCAGGTTTCACAAGCAGATCTCCTTTTGTTTTCAATAACCTATGTTTCCTTTCTTTGATAGATGCATTGCTCTTGTCTTCAGCTTCTATGACAGCAGAAGTACACACATTGCTCTTGTGCTTGGTCACAGCCCCAGGTACTGATGTGGAATGTATTGGCATGTTACTTGTAGGTTTTTTACAAGCTTGTGGACTTACAGGTTCTAACATGGGGAACCCCTCAACAATACGATGGATACTTGGGTTCTCGTCACATAAGATCGTGTCTACCAGTGTCACTGCAGCATATGGGAGGACTTGCCGTGGTCTTTGCACTGGCAACCCCTCCTCATCATACTCATACAGGTACACCTGGAAGACAACAAAAGAATCATCATTATTTGCTTTATTTCAACTGTCAAACCAATAAACAGGAAAAAAATTGCTCCATAGTTTGTTGTAATGCCATTTAACCATCATACCCTTAGGCTACTTCCCTTCACTCTACCTAAATGCAAATCTACAGCTGACATATGATAGCTCAGGATGGGGATATTCATCATTCATAGCAATGTGTACAAGACAATGCTGAAACAGAGCAGTAGTTTGCTGAGCTAGACCATCCCAATGTAAAGGTTAGCATTATGCATTTGCTTTGCAAACGTGACCTTCCAGTGTGTGTTTCTTTCTCAAGGACACAATTTGATAAGGATCTTTGGAATGTTCTGAGTTCTTTTTATCTACCCAGGGGTTTATCAATCTGCCTCAAGTACAAACAAACTTTGTGTCCTATAAGTCAAAATCCCATTTAAGTGTTCTTACCTGTGATTTGCCATATTGGTCCCAGTCCTTGTCAGTTAGTCTGGGGGGTTCCCTGGACACATGGCAGTCATGGTTGGGGTCAGGGTCCGACCTGCTGTGGGGAGCCACCGCAAGGACTCGCCCTAACATGGCCTGGAAGATTTTATCTTGTAAGTTTCACATCATGACAGAATTGTGTGTGTGTGTGTGTGTGTTTACATCATAATATACATGTGTGTGTGTGTGTGTGTGTGTGTGTGTGTGTGTGTGTGTGAATATGTGTGTGTGTGTGTATGTGTACTTCTGACTGATATAAAGGAGCAAAGCCTTTGTTCTCTTAATTTATCAGCAGTGGTAGACGATAAAATCTATCTTTTTACATGCTTTTAACAACACTTACATGTTCCTTGTTTGTCTGTATTGGAAGGAAAAATATATAGCCTGATCTCATCAGATAATCCACTGCTGTGATAACACCTCTTGAGAAGTTATTTGTATCAAATAATGGCAAAAAAATCACTGTCATAACATTTCTGTCCTCTTACCTTGTATATCAACAGTTTGGTTTTCGTTCGACGGAATACCACCTGGCACCTCAAACACACATCAGCATTCTTCTTTAGGTAAACTCCCTTAGTGCTGTCACCCAGCACACTCTTCCCCTGAGATGGTACTACAGTCTTTCCCTAAAGGTTCAAGATATCCAAAAATCAGCCCAAGAAATAGACATGATACCACACCTTTGCAACCTTACTAAAACATATATTCCTCATAGCAGCCATTATGCGCCTTATCTGCTTCCATCCATTTAAAACAATGAATAGTTACATTTTTATACCACCTACATCTATTGGATATTACATGTAATACATACATGTGTGCTATGCCTTTTGCTTTTGTATGTCTATTCTGAAGTAGCTTAGTACATAATTTTAGAATCTTAAAATCTAGAAAGTGCGACATGTCCTATCTTGGCAATGACTGAGGCATATGACTAAAGATTTAGATAACAACATAAGGCTGCATAACCAATAGTTACCTTTGTGAAGGTCCCTGTCCCTCCAGATGTAGAAAAGAGGTACTTTTCAGTCACATCTCTTCCATGTTCTTTCATCTCCTGGCGTTTGGAACTGAAATCTGGACAACACAATAACAAAAGCTCAATAATTCTGTGTGAAATAAACCAAAAGCATCGACCTAACAAATCTATTACTTCTGGTAAAGAAGTATTAATTGGAGTGAGTTGTGGGTTTGTATCACCCGGTTTACACGGCGACAAAATTTTTGCGTACGAAAATTGCGTACGCACGCGAGCGTACGTTCATTTCTGTTTATACAATGACAGGGAGAGCAAGAGGACTCCCGCTGCGCCCCGTCCCACACTATCGTGACCCCATTTTGACCTGCCGCCATGGACGTACTTGACAGCAGTTTTGTAGTTTGGTTGTAGTCTCCACGTCTCATGCAATGTCCTCATATACTTCCTTCTTTCTAACAGTCTCTATTTTGCTTTTGATCCTGTCGTTAATCCATACTCCAATTTGCGCTGTTACGCCATTCTGGCATGCCCAGCGAACAGTCAGCAAAAAGCTTACTAAATCAAAACAATTGAAACAGAGAATTAAAGGGAAAGGAAAACAAAATGAAACGCGGAGAATTGAACAAGTAAACACGGCGTGGCTGGTACAAACGTGGGAAAAGAATGGAATTTGCAACAATGGAATTTTCCTGTTTTACATGAGGCTGGGAGGCACGGAGACTCCCCGCTGGGCGAGCCACTGATCGTACGAAAATTACGTACGAAAGTTGCGTACGCAAATTGGGGCCGGTTTACACGGAGGGAAAACCCTTGCGTACCCAATTTTCGTACGCAAGGATTTTGGCGCCGTGTAAACCGGGTGTTAGTCTGCATGTCCAAAGTGGGTTGACAGCATGGGGGTGAAGATTGACAGGCAAAATGACAGGGTGGCAAAACATCAGACACAGGAAGTGGTCCTGGCCAGGAGCCAGCAGGAATTCAAGAAGCAAAAGATTACATGAGGAAGTTCCGAACCCTAAAATTCTTCCTGAAGTCTGAAATGTCCAACTTCCTGCTCTAAATGTGTTATCTCCCTTCACAGTTAAGTTCAGCATTGATGTCAAGGAAATTGAATTTTCTACAGCAATCCCTTTCAAATGTTCTTGAGGAAAAGCAACTAAAAAAAGGGACATGTTGCTGAGTGACACGTGAAGCATTCCAAAATGGCAGCTAATATACATGTTGTACAGGTGGTATTTTTCATTTTCTTTCATGTGGCCAAACAGCCATTATTCGTTTTTCTGATCATGCCAGGGCGCACGTCAGGATGTAAATATTCTGAGTTATTCAATTTCAGGAATTTCTTTCATCTTGCAGTTTCCTGCCGAGTGACAGCCAAGCAAATTACACATTGGATTGATGATGTGGTATTGCATGAATACTGTAGCATGTATCTCTCTCTCTCTCTTGCCATTATGGTAAACAAGGCAAATACGAGGAAAATATAAGCTAGGCATGCAAGTTTAAACCTAAATTTTTAGGTTATGTGCCCCAGTGCAACTGTTTCTAAAAAATTGTTTCCAGCCATATGAAGTCAATTTTCATTCTGAAAAATTCCACCTTAAAATTTAACATGACAGTGATGACTGTGGTGAATAAATGTTCAATATACAAAACACAAAACAAACCTTTCTCCAACTCCACATTGTTCACCAGTGAGATTTTCTGCACCCCATACTGAGTGGTGAAGTTTTCATTCAAGAAGCTCCTCTTGACAATCTTGAGGATATCCAGCTCCTCTCTGGACCCAGGCCGCACTGGAGTGAGAGGACCTGCAACGATAGTCATTAGATCTGTAAATGCTCCTATAAATCATTTTCTGTTCATGATGGCTTAATTTCGAAGTAGGAAGGGGAAACGGGTGTTTCAATTCACGTTTGCGGCTGAAAGCAATACTATAGTCGGTAAAACCAAGACAGGGCATCTGTTTGTGGTGTGATGAGTGAGCAAAACATGTGCCCTGTCTTGGTTTTCTGTATGTGTGTATGTAAATCTACCAGTTAATACTTCAGAAAAAATTGGTTTTCTGTATGTGTGTATGTAAATCTACCAGTTAATACTTCAGAAAAAATTCACTCCAACAAGACCAATAAAGGACACTAACACTTTAACACAGCCTCTCTCCAACAGCCCTTCCTGTCTACCTCAACAGGTTTTATATCCAGTCCTGAAAGTGAAAAAGCTAACCTATGCCACATGCTAATAGTAAGATTTAACCAGGTATGTAAATCAGCTCAGAATATTTGTAGTACATGTACAGTATATGTACTTACCATCAGCACCGTTCCTCTTAACCTTTGGGATGCAGTAGTCCCCCGGAGGACACCTGGGCACTCTGTACCCCTCCATGGCTCACACCTTCAGTCAGTATAAAAAAAACACAGTTAGTGCTCATGCAACCTCATCACCAGAAATCCTGCAGGCACAAGTCTTCTCATTTCCTGGAAACTGGCAACACAAGAGAAACTGTCTAAACATCGTATCACAAAAAGCATCACAAGAAAAACATGACAGTTTACATGGTAAATCTTCCATACCAAAATTTTCCTGAAAAGACTCCAATAACAATAACAGGAGTCTATACTGAGAGAGAGTATACAGCGTCTGTTCAGTTGTTTTACGCACTGTTTTCTGCCGCACAAATGATGTAAACAAAATTCCCTGATGCAAAGCATGGAAAAAATGCCAACGATGCTATACTGTGGCTCCCTCCATCCATGCTCAAACTACATACACAAAATACCTCACTTCATTCATCTGTGCGTGCAAATAATCAAACACTCTAAGTAGTCTGGGCATGTTTCCATAACATTGCCAGGCTGTCAGTGTGGCACATCTATTGTTCTTCTCTTCTATTGTTACATTTTGAAAGTCATCACTGTCAGACAATTCAGAGAGTACACTAGGATGGGTCTTATTTTGGAGGGTCCAAGAATATTGGTTCATATAGAAAAGTGACATACATTATGTTTTACTACTAAATAGACCAGAGGGTATTGGGGAGGGGGGTAAAATGGGGGAAAGCTAACTGGGAAGAGAACAAAACAATAAAAATCTAACACCAAAGATTGATAGAAGGATTTTCCAGCGTAAACAATGCATTTTGTGATCTACAAATTCTGCTCTTATCATAGGCATACTATACTCCTAAAATGTTTTTAGTTGGTTGGGCCATTACAGGGAGGCTTTAATCAAACGTTTAGAAAATTAGAATCACTTACCAGTGAAAAAAATATTTCCAAGCCTTCTTCTACTACTTTTTTAATCAACAGTTAACCCACCATATGAACATAGAAAACACTGTTGGTATGTTTGGGCACAATTAGCTTACTAAGAATTCTGGAATTTTGACACTCCCATCACAAAACCCCATCCCATCTTCTAAATTTTAAGTCAAGGCCCATTCTGTAGTCTCTATTGTGTTTCTGAGCACTGGCCCGTAATTGGGATACTGCAGACAGTGTAGAATTGAATAGCATGATCAGATATTAATGACATATACATAATACATAAAATGACACAATTATCTTTGACCTTCAATAAAGACCCAAACAATACCTGAGAACACCTGGCAGACCACACCCTCAATTCCGATGCTGATGCACGCGTCTGGCCAGTAATGAGTAATTCATTAGGTCATCAGCATTGAATGGATGAACATTTACATAACAGGTAAGTACTTAGGGGGGTTAACTGTCCCTGTACACATATGCAAATTATTTCAGTGAATTAACTTTTGATCCACTTAATCTCCTGGAATTTATATAGACCCAGGACTTGATCCAAGCAAGGACATTATAGTACAGATCCAAGTAATTTGGGTTACTGTCCTTGGTAAATAATCTAGCCCCTAGGAGGACAATAGAACCTTCCAGGTCTGTCCCAAGTCAGGAAAGGTCTAAAACTTGGGGGGTTCAGTATGAGCCAACCACAGCCAAGTCCATTGTGTTATCTACTGAAAAACCAGCACATTAGCAACATGGGCAAATTGCAAGTGAACATAGCAAAAATGGCATCTATAGGGAGCAGAGGTCCCTGTGTAAAAGATTTTGACCCCCTAATGTTGATTAACCACTTGTTAATATTACAGTTCATTATTGTGTCCATGGAGTTAGATATCTTTTGTATATCTTTTTGCATAATTTATGCTGAGGTTTTTCATGGTTGTCACAAGTGTGGTGTGGTTAATCAATTTTCTTAAAGGTCCAAAATGAACCACTGAAAATGAGCTAATGTAAACAAATCCTTCTAGTCCTCAACAGGGTCACCATAACCAAGGATAACGACCTTGTCTTGCCACAACACATCTTTCAGCTGTGCAAACTTAGACGGCCTAACATCCTGATTCCTCTTCCACAACTTGTCACTCTGGAAACATGCAAGTCTTCCTCCAGACCTCTATCCAACTTATACATTACTTCCACTGACTTCTTGCACATTAAGTTCAATCATTCGTCAATACACCTGGGCTGGTGACCTGGCAGGTGTGACCTCACACACAGCCCTATAGAACCAGAGCAGCTGTTTCCGCACATTTAGGTTACAAAGTGTTCTGGCATTTTTGACAGTCCCATCATTAAACCCAACCCTGCAGAATAAAGGATGTGTGAGTGTCAGGAAGTCAAAGCCAGTGTGCACTAACTGTGCTTTTTTAGTTTCTGTGAACCAGTGTGTAATTGGCGGTACTGAAATTGCCCCAGTCTGATATCTAGACAGGTTTGTCTCAAGAAATCTGTAACTCATTGACACTTTTCCATTTCAACAACATGTTCTTATGATGAATGTACATAAAACGTATTGTTTTGTTTTGCAAGCTATATTATTGGATTTTCCCACTAACAAGTGCTGACTGGTTAGAACATTGCTGGAGACTCTCCACTACTCTACTCTACTCAAGGTGGTTCAACCAGTAGTAGAGCACAAAACAAGGGAAATTGTAGATTTCAAACCTCCGGGTTTTTTTGTGTTCTATTGGTTTAGGTTATTTGTTTGTGTGTAGTATGAAAGTTATGTGCGTAATATGTTTGTATGTGTTTGATGGCTACTGACGGTTGGTTCGGTATGGACTGTTGATTAACGTGTCTCACAGTCTGACAGCCTGCACCGTCACCCGCGCCATTACCCCCGCCGTCATTCCGCGCCGTCATTGCTGCGCCGTCACCCAAAATTTTTATCGGAACCAGACACCCCTCTGTTTGACCCCTTTTGAATGCTAAGACCCAAAACTGCAACCGCCCCATTCCTTAACAACATGGTAATTACCATTTTCAGCATGGCGGGGGTGTCCAGAGCACTTAAAAACCTTTTATTTCGACGCCCATAAACACATATGCAATTAAACAAAAACGTTCTGCATCATCTGCAGCCCAATAGCAATACGTATACCGAACCACAGACAAATCCGTCCAGCCGATCGCGAGAAACAGCTGCTGACAGAAATGTTTCGAACCATAGTAAAACCTCCTCGCGGAAGGATATCTCCTTCCCCGGAGGTAATTACTTCCTCCGTCCTTGCCCTACTGAATACTAGTATTTTATTCAATCCTGCCACTATTGCCTGGGGTGAGAGGGAGGTGGAGTAGACAGGTTGCTGACTTGCCTTTGGGTGTCATGCCACACATGTGAAAGTAGGGACTCTGCTACTCCATCAATTATAATGCACTGGGAAGATCAGGTCAAATTTGATAAGGAAGCAGTGATTGCCATGTCACCCAAGCTCTAATTGTGCACAGCAAGTCCAGCTGCCTCAAATTAACTACTTAGGATGTCTGACAGTGATGTATGATTCCTACAGTAAACCCACATGGAAAAATACTAGTAATAAAAAAATTTGTCAAGTACAAGTGGCAATTTATCTTAACTTCAAGGATAAGTGTTGTATACCAACATCCTGTTACTGACTTCTTACATTGCTAACATGTAACAACTATGTGGGTGGACAGGCACATGAGAGCCTGCATTTTAATTCATCAGCTGGGTTCCCGCTTTAATTCAACGATAATTTAAACCGTTGCCAGTCGATCGGCCTATAGCACATTGTTTGTTATCCTGAATTCATGGTTAATCATTATCAACATATCCTTCGTGACATCATGTAGGTCCCAGCCCTGCACACTTAGACAAGGGTGTAGGAACACATCTGAACCCTGAATCACCCTATCATCAGTTATCCTGTTACAAGTTGTTTATCATCAATATATCACAAAACTCCCACATCCCACATGGTTTCACTTACCTTGCATAACACAAATAGTTGAGAACAAACTTGAAGATAAAGGCTTTATAATTCATTCTGTTGTTCTTCTGTTTTGCAATGTAAGGATAAGTATAATTTCTTTTCTTCACTTAGATCTCTTTTATAATGCCTGATTATCTCATCAGCAAATACATGTACAGTGTAATGGAAACTTATCAAATCAGACACAGGCCAACATTAATTGTTGTGGTAAGCAAGTTTCACATATAATTTACTAGTACATGTGCCTGTAGCTGACTTTCCGGTTGACTTTGTTCTACTGGAAATTCTTGACTTTTGCCAACAAAGACGACTTCCGGTGCAGCCCAGCTTGTTGTTGAAAGGAAGGGTGTTTGTGTATACTGTGTACGTGTCTTATGCCAGCTACTTCAGTGATTGATGATAACTGTTAAAGTTTTACCTTACCTTGGAGCAAAGCTCCTAGCTTGAACTACTGGCCAACATATTCATTCTTGAATCATAGTGGCTTTTGACTCCTTGTCTCAACTATCAAGATATAGAAGAAGAAAAATATTTTTGGCCACTTAATTAGTTCCAGGGTTTACTGGAGGAGTAACATTCTCTGTTCTGATTCTCTCAACTGATGCACACTCCTTTCAGGTGGACTTGTATGCAGTCACTGAGTGGAATTGTTTGAAGGTCTATTTCAGGCCTGGACAGGATTCTGGATGGTGTTTACCGACCCACTCCTTTTCCCATGACAACAACCACACTTGGTTCAAAAATGGAATGTTGGGGGACTCCAACCATTACCAACTCGGCCCAGTCAACTCGGCCCAACACACTGGTAAACTGGACCCAATACCGGAGACAGCAAGCACACACAGTCTTCTTTGCACTAATTGTCAAAATTGAAATGAAGTCAACAAATATGTCTATTTCATTTCTTCCACATGTTCGGTTAACGTCAGGAACTAATAAGAACTAAGACGATTTGGGGACAAATTACAAAGACAACTCTTTGAAACAAAGTTTGAACTTGTCTGACAAAGACACAGAGTCTCTGAAATTATGTTGATTGCCTAAGCGCTGGCAGTTTTGGGCTTCAAAATGCTCAAAGTCAACGGTTCAAACATGTCTGACAAAATATACAGAATATGCTGGTATGAAAGAATGTTAGACACTGCTTCTTATTTTTGTCCACTGTTACTGGGTGTTGGAACTAGGGCATTAGGCTGAGTTGGCAATGGCCAGTCACCTCTTCCTTCCTTCACTACATGTGGTCTAAGAGATCCTAAATGCCATGTGAGGGGGCATCCATAGCACACAGGCAGTGTTCTAGACCTTGACATATGGTCACATGTGCATTTAGCCCATTTGGGCAGGAATGTGCAATAAAGATTCATTCATTTACATCACAGGACAATCGTACTGGTGACTTTCTTGCTTCTGTTATGTAGCCTGGGCCAGGTCGCCTGGGCCCCAATGAAAATGAGTTTGGAAAATTGAATGGGCCACCCAGCTGTTTGAAGATCTATAAATAAATACTAAGAAAATGGGACCCGTATTCTAGATATGTAAATGAACAGATCTTTATTCAGATCCCCATCCATCCATCAAAGTACAA